TTCAGGCCCTGACACATATTGGGAATTTAATGCTTGTTGAATGAATAAATATGGCTTAAGACCCAATCCAGTGCATTCTCTATCAACATAAATCAAATTTTTAATCAGGACAAAACAACAAAGTAAACAATTAATTAGAGAAAATCAAGGAGCAGAATCATTCTCTTTTCTCTACCCCATACACAAAGTAGTATGATTTCCTACAAAATCATATACTAATGAAGGAATATTCACACTAATAGGGTTGACACATGGCTGAAACAACTCTGCTGATAACATCTCTCAGCCTCCCACCAGGCCTCGCCGATACTCTGCTCTGCCTCCACAGCTACTATTCCTTTCTATTTCAGAAACTGTCATTAAAACTTCTCTGCCCAGTGGCGATAGTCATACACTAGAGTTATCTGCTCAAGGGGCTTACTCCTCTTCAAAGTAGGTAAAGTAAGTTTCTTTTGTGAGGCTGGCTCAGCTCCAAAATTCCCAAAAGGTAATTAATACATTTTCAGCAAATTTATCAGTGAGGCCCATAGCCATGCCCCAAAACTATGACACAAAGGGGTCCCATAGTCAAGACCAATCTTTAATCTCCAAAGGAAGTCCCTCAGGCTTCCCTGGAAGTTAAGTTAGTTAGGATAAAGGATTTGCTTTCAGTTCTCTCAAATAAAGGAGTTATTCCCTGACAGAATGTTGTGCTTGTCCTTCATTCTGGAAGAGGACCTTGACATCAGAGAGATGATGACATAACTTGCAGTTGACTTTGATTTGAGTGAGGGAGGGCGGTGCAAGGTTACCAGCCTCACCTTCTCCTCCAGAGCCATCTGGGTCCAGTGGCCAGATATTCATCAGGACTGGAGATAACTCCAATAGAATGTAATCTCTGTAAGGGCAGGCACTGTTTTACTTTCGTCTTTCTATCTCCATTACCTAACATTGTGGCTGGCACATATTTGGCCTAGAACAAATGTAGGTATACACTGAGCAACATTGGAAGGGAGAGCTGGAAACCTTTGCCCAGCATTTCTGCCCCTACAACAAAGTCCTTTTCCCCCACACTCACAAAAATTGGAAAACTCTAAGACAGAAGCAGTCACTAGGCTGTGATGACTCCATCATATTCTTCTTCCTTTTCTCTTACTATCCCACTCTCTAAACATTAGTCCTCAGGCACCAGTTTTTTGTCAGGAGCCCAGCTCAGAATTTTGACTCATTAACCTCTTATTTTTTTTCAAGAGAAGATATACATTAGCCTACTTTTGTCATTCCACAAAGTAAGTCTCAGTACTTGAAGGGGAAAGAAATACTGGTGGAACAAAGTAGGACCTAGGTTAAGTACCTATGTCTAGAAAGATAAAGAATTGAGGTGGAGTCAAGTTATGGTAGATCACAAGGTATGATATATAAATGTGATTTAAAAAAACTATTGTGCTGTAAGAAATTATGAAAGAGATGGAAGACTCATATGAACCAATGCAAAATAGAGTGAAAAAAAAACCAGGAGAACGATTTGTATAATGACTACGATATTATAAAGCTCTGAAAGACTGAGTCTGATTAGGGCATTTACCTGACACAGGACTCATATGAAACATGCTATGCTAATAGAGAAATAAAAGATGCAGAGCACAGAATGAGGCGTGTGTGTGTGTGTGTGTGTGTGTGTGTGTGTGTGTGTTTCTTATGGACATGGCAGGTAGGGAAATTTGTTTTGCTTGACTATGTCAACTCTGAAAACAAATGACCAAAAAGTCACAGAGGTTACACAACTGCTGTTAACCCTGAAAATACTAAAGAGCTCACACAGGTTGTCGCAACCACAATTAATTATGAAAAATAATATAAAAACAAAGAGCTAACAATGGTCATAAGCAAAAAGTTTCCCTTATTCCATTAGAGAAGGGAAACAAAACACATGTGCCAGGGCCTCTCTGACAACAAGGAGACCCACTTTAGTGTGGGCAAATCTCAATACATATACTAGGGGTGGGGAACCTTTGGCCTTAAGGCCACATGTGGCCCTCTAGGTCCTCAAGTGCGGCCCTTTCACTGAATCCAGACTTCACAGAACCTTGTGAGGACAAAGTGAGCTGTAGCCCATACAATGAGACAAGTTTGATACATAGCTGGGCTTCATGACCGGAGCATAGGTACTGCAGGTGCTAATCCAAGCCAGAGAACACCTGGTGCTGGTATGAAACAATTCAGGGATTTTTCTGTGGCTGAGTTCATCCAGAGGGTGAGCACAAAGGATTGTTGTTATGCCAGGCTCAGGGCAAAGCTTGCTTGCTGAGCCTTAGCTCTGGGAAACAGGGTGTCTCCTAACAGTAAAAAGAGAGGAATAAAAAGAGAAGCGTGGTCTTGGCATGGGGATCCTGACAACTATATATATCAGTAACAGAGGCTTTGTTTTTCTTTCATAATCAATGGGGATATAAGAAGGAGAAAAGATAGATTTTTGTTGACTGAAAAAAAAATTAGTTTAAAAACTAAAATGTTTTAGCTCAAGTAAAAAAGACAAAAATAAATTGAATACAAGAAAATGGAATTATAAATGTATAAAGAATGAAAAGGGGGCTGCTAAATTTAATCAGAAACTTAAATATAGTCAAAATAGGAAATGTTGGTTGAATAATCTATAGGGGACATTTAATTCCAATTGGCTGGTAAGTTCTTTCTTCATTATGACTTTGTTAAGCTATTTTTTTAGTCCCCAGTTTCCTCAGTACAGAGGTTCCCGAACCCCACTGGAAATCTCCTTTCTTTAATCCTTTAACAGTTTTTTTTAAATGTGTCATTTAAAAAAATGTATAAAATATAATAATTTATTATAAATTTGTGGGGTCTTTCCTGCATTGAAATTTTGATGACACTATATTGTGTCATGTAACCATATAGTATCATATTGTAAACAAGTCATTAAACGCACATAAATCTGCCAATGCATGCTGGACTTCCTGATGATGCGTAACATGCTCACTTGCCAACACCTGTTGGCAGACTTGACCACTGTTTGGTTATGAGTTGCATTTTGTGTGTTTATTTGGAAAACAATGTGATCACTATGGCTTTAACTCTGTTATACAACAAATGAAATATATACTAATGGTTTTTCAAAATTTTCTTGTCTTCTTTCCTTATGCTTCCACCACCCCTTTATTTTTATTCAACACCCCCCAATTGCACCTGAGGCTACTACTGCCCCCCTGAATCATTCTAGTACCCCCCAAGGGGCAGTATCACCCACTTTGGGAACCTCTGTTAACAGAAAATGATCAAGTTTAATAGGTGATCATGAGGAAATATTCCCTTCTGAATCCTTGGGCTGAGTCACTTTACTACGAATTATCTTCCCGCCCAAGTATCTGCAAAAATAAAATTACAGTCTTTTCAGCCTAGAGGGAGCCAGGAGAGTTTAAGTTTAAAATTTGGTCCTTTATTTTGTTTACATGACAATGGATATTAGCTTCAAAAATTATTTTATTCTTCCTTGTGTAAAATACAGACTTTCCTTTAAAAAAAAGTATTTGTTTTGTTTTTACATCACCTTTATTTCTCCCCCTCCCCAGTGATCTCCTCTAGTATAATAGAGGGAAATGGTCCAGACAGTCCTCATCAATGGATTCTCACACCACCACTTGTAATAAAGAATCAAAATGAAAGGGTGTGAGGTTGGGAAGTAGTTCGGTAAAACTAACCAATTCATCGATGAAGTTTAACAATGGATCTGACAAAACATCCAATGTTTCACATCCACAGTCCCCTACTTCTGCAAAGAAGGGAGGGAAGTGCATTTTTTTTCCATCTTTTCCTCAGGGTCAAGCTTGCTTTATTGTATTACACAGTGCTTAGTTTCAGTTTTCATTGGGTATGTTTTCCTGGTCCTGCTTTCTCCTCATGCTCCACTATTCAGTAGAGCTGAATTCATGCTTCATATTCAACCTCATTGACTTTCTATCAACCTATGATTGCCTAAAATGATGTTCTAACTCTTCTCTTCTAGAGCCCCCTATTCTACCACTGCCTTTTCAGCAAAGGACCTCATTTCCTATTTCATTGAGAAAATTGAAGCTGTCCAAAATGAACTCACTTTTTCCATACTCTAAAACATCTATGGTCTCCTATTCTTTCACCCTTTTCCCCATTCTCTGGGGATGAAGCAGCCCTTCTTACCCAGGAAAATAACCCTTCTACTTATGCTCATAATCCCATTCCTGCTCTCTCTCTCTCATCTTCAATCTCTTATTTTCTGGTTCCTTCTACACTAATAGCAAACATATCTATATCTCCCTCATCCTTAAAAGACTTTCTCTTGACTCAACCATCTCTTCAAGCTATTATCCCATAATTTTCCTTCCTTTCACAATCAAATGACTAGAAATCAATCAATCAACAATTATTTATTCAGCACCTACTATGTGTCAGGTACTGTGCTAGGCACTGGAGAAATAAGTACATAGAATTAAACTAATATCTACAGTGCATATCACAGGGCTCTGAAGAGAACAGTCATTTAAAAAATATTTATGGAATGGAATGGAAGAAAATTGTTTCTGTTTCCAAACCTTATGGGATTCTTCCTATTAACAGACAGAGCCTATCAGGGAACACCTACCCTATCCTACTGACACAGTGAGATTGCAAGTGCCCTAAGGCCAGGAATGCCTTTATCCTGGAGAAGATAGAGAAAGAAAATGGGCCCCTTAAATCCAGGCTTCTCATCCTCACCAGTCCAACAAATAACTTAGAGCCAGATTACAGAAGGCCTTGGGAATTTTAATTTTTTCTATAGTCAACGGGAAGCTATTTAAGATTCTCTAGCAATAGAATAACAATCAAAAAAGATCAAGCAGCACATCAGATAAATTAATCTGGCAACTAAGTGGTTATGTGGAATACATAGTAACAGTTAAGGAGACTTAGCTCATAAAAATAATAATAGCTGACATTCATATGTATTTTAAGATTTGCAAAGACCTTTACAAATAGTATCACATTTTATCCTCCCAATAACCCTGGAAGGTAACTTCTAGTATTATTCCCATTTTACAAATAAGAAAACTGAGGCAGACAGAGATTAAGTCCAGGGTCTCATAGCAAGTAAACATCTGAAGTGAGATTTGAACTCAGGTCTTCCTGACTCTAGGTCCAGCATTCAATCCACTGCACTGGTTAGCTGCCTCTTGATAATCAGACTCACTAGATTCTGGAATAATTACTTTCCTCTCCTCTTGGCTCCTCCTTTGGAGCTGGATGGCTTATTTTGAGGAGGCTTGGACTGAGACTTGAGTGATGGTTTGTTATTATAATTGGATGAGCATCCTGTTTGGGAAGCAGGTTTTATGGACTGACCCTGGCGCTGACAGGCAGGCCTTAAGGGTCTCCCAGTTGTTCTGGCTGGTTGAGGTGGCTGGGGTATGGTGCTTCCTATATGACAGGACAATTTCATTGGCTGCCCAGCTGCTCCTGCTGGCTGAGATCTCTGGGTCCCAGATGTTCTTCCTAGCTTTGATCCCTGTGCTTGGGAGGCTGGCCTCCTCGATGTTTCTGCAGCCTGTACTTCTGTAGGCTGGTGTTGTCTTGAACTTGATGCTTGTCTCATAGGTTCCTTGGTCACTCCTACATGTTGGAATCTTGGGTTCCAGAACCACCCTAAATGGAAATTTGGTCTAATAGGTAGAATAGATGTTCCTGATGGCTGTGGTCCTAGGGTTTGCAAATGACCTGCCGGGGAGGTGAATCTACTGGCTCCTAAATTTTTTGACTGAGATCCCTGGTATGGGGCCAGTACAGTTTGAGAAATGAGTCCAGGTGGTCTTACCAAATGCTGTACTGGGGGAGATCTAGAGGATTTCACTAATGCTGCAGCTTGATGAATTCTCTGAGGTTTGCAAGCCCCTCTACCAGGACTTCTGCCTTGTATATTGGCCCTTATATTGTGAAAGGCCAGAGGGCTTAACCATCTGGGCCTAACCCCTGGCCACACATTGGAGCCCATGGAACAGTAGGGTCTCAGAGGAGCCTGGTAAAGATTACCATTCATCATGGTCAGTGGGTGCCTCCAAGCCCATGGGCCAGAGGTAAATGATGAAGTACGGTAGAAAGCATGAGGTTGGGGGTGGACTCCCCTAAAAATCCCAGTCCCTCTTGCAGGTATTTGACACTGGTTTCCTGGCAGATGTGTGGGATAAGTATGGCTCTGGAGTACCTCATCCTCACCTGTGGCTTCACTAAGGGTCCCTTGGACACTTTGGGCTTTCTCACAGTCCTGATCCACCTGGATCCCCAACTCTCTGGCCAATGATGCCATATCTTCCACTGACACATGTCTGAGAGGAGAGCGCATTACCTCCTTCAGGGCTATTTGGAGGCCCTCTGCATGCCTTCCTCTATCCTCCATATCACTCTCCTCTAGAAGCAGTAGTTGTGATGGCTTCAGTTTCAGAATTCTCTGGAATAGTTGGGCTTCCTCACTCTCCCTAGACTGAGGACTGAGAATGAAGTAGCATCTTTCCTTAGCAGATTCTCCTAGAAATGCTAGGAGGTCCCATTCCCTCTCACCTGGACAGTCAATAAAAATGAACATAGCTGAGGAGACCTCCGTTAAAAAGCCAAACTGCATCCAGAATAACTCCAGATCTCCCCTAAGGTTGGCCACAGCCACAGGATCTTGGAAAATGTCAGAATTTTCCTTACCAGCTCCACTGTTAGGGAAACACCAAGTAATCTCAACCATGCCATCAGAGATTTGCCGAGGACATAATGAGGCATGGGAGTCTCAGTGCAGAAAGATGTGGGGAAGCTGCTTTTGGGGAGGGCTGAGTACTGCATTAAGGATCTTGGATTTAGATGAACCACAGCACCCCAATCGAACAAAAGAGATAAGAGGCATTTTCATAAACACTAGAGACTTTACACCAACCTGAGCAGCATCTCCTAGGGAATGTATTGAGTCCTTTGGCACAATGTTCCTCATGGCCTCTAGCATCAAAATGCACTTATTGTTCTCTGCATCTGGTAGCAGCAAGGGAAGGGCAAAGTGACACTTAAACATGTTCCCCAAGACCTCCTGCTGCAAAGAGATGTCAGAACAAAGCATGATGGCACAAAGGACATCAAGGGGATCAATGGTCTCTTTGTCTCTAAGACCCATATTTCAACCTTAGTGATCAGTCCCTCTTTGCTATCCTCATCCATGACTCTCTGGCTGAGGACTGTATCTCTAGCAGTCACATCCAAGGACTGAATTTTTACTAGGAAATTCCAGGCTAAGTCGGCTGGTGTCTGAGGGGTCCAATGACATCCATGGTCCAAGTGGAACTGATGAACAAAACTTGGTAGAAGCTTTCTATTCCTGTCCATTGCCAAACATGACAGGATTTCTTTGAATGTTTTTCTTCTCTCTAAAGAAACAGAGACAACACAGTGAATGGTAAAATGGTCATTAAAAACAAAGTTAACTTTGGTGACTAATTCTTTACGGAATTTATCTATTGCTTAGAGAGAATGTAAATCTGACTTCCAACCAACAAGACATTTCTCCATCCTCAACTTCCTCTCCCAGGGCCTGTCTATCCACAGACACTACAATATAATCTATTTCATTACCCAAACATTTACAATATCCTGAATTCACACACAAAATGGCTAGAGGTTAACAAGATATATATATATATATATATAGATATAGATATATATAAAAATGTAAGTCATATTGGCAAAGATGACACAAAATAAAGGAAAAGGACAAATATTGGAGGGGCTGTGGGAAATCAGCTGATGCACTGTTGGCAAGCCTATGAGGGGGTACAACCATTCTAGAAAGCAATTTAGAATTATACACAAAAGTTACTAATAGTACATACCCTTTCACCTAGCTATACCACTTCAAGACCTACCCTCAAAAGAGATCAAAGAAAGAGGAAATGTGGTAGAAAAACCTGGAAACTAAGAGGATACCCATCAATTGGGGAACGGATGGATAAATTGTGATATATGAATGTGATGGAATATTATTATACTGTAAAAAAAGAGGAAATGGACTATTTCACAGAGATATGAAAAGACTTATGAACTGATACAGAATGAAATAAGTAGAACCAGAAGAACAATTTATACTCTAATATCAATATTATAAAAAGGAACAACTTTGAGGATTTTTATAAACTGATGAAGAATGAAATAAGCAGACCCAAGGAAACAATGTTGTACAATAACAACAACATAATAAAGACAAGCAACTTTGAAAGCTGTAAGAATAATGCAATGATCATCAATGATTCCAAAGGACCAATGATAAAGTATGCTATCCATCTCCCAGCACAGAGGTAAAGAATCCCGGGAACAGAACAATATGTATTTTTTAACATACCTAATGAAGAAAATTGTTTTGCTTGACTATGCATATTTAACACAAGAAATTGATTTTTTTCTTTTTCAGTGAGGTAGGGGATGAGGAGAGAAAGTAGATTTCTGTTCATTACACAAATAAAACTTTAAAAAATTTTTAATAAATAAATTTAGGCAGAGATTCTAACCTCTGCCTAAATGTTAGAAATTTTCCTAAATGGGGGCTCAGAACAATTGTGATTGAACTCATAATGTTTTTTTTTTCTAAAATGAAGTCCTTATGGCCACAGAAGGAACCATTATATTGACCCTAAGCTTAAAACGAAGTGCTTATTGTAACAAGAGCTTACAAGTCTTTTCTTAAAATGTTAATACTTGCCTCTGATTCTATCTAAACTCCAATAGTTGACTTCCAATGTATTTCCTAGCTACTTCTCTTCGAAATAGTGACTGATGTCACAGTGGTGAACCTAATGGGGAGTTGGGAAAATAAGGTCCAAATTAACTTTATGTGTTCAGTGCTGGGAAAAGAATCATTCCTTTTCTACACATGAATTGGATGGGTTATGAGGTCTTGTATAAAGAGAACTGTCTCCTCAGATCTGAAAAGGCCTGTATGATAAAAAGGAATGTAGAGGTCACCTTTCCCTTCAATGTACCCCAAACTTATAAAAGCCATTTATATTTTCCCCAACTCCAATGTAGTATTTGACAATTGATCCTTCAATTTAGTCTAACATTCAACAAGCATTTATTAATACTCTGTGTAGGGCACCTTGCTAAGCACCGGGAATACAAAAACACAAATGAAACAGTCTGTTATCTCAAGGAACTGATATTCAACTGAATGTCTGCATAAAACTGTCTTGAAAAATAATAACTGAGGAAAATGAGGTCTAGCCCCTCCTGCCATTACTATACCACACCTAAAAGTACACAGCATCTATTACACTTCCCTGACTATTAAAAGGGAAATATTTGGCAAAAGATACTTAAAAGGATTTGAGCACTTCAAGATGTTATTATACTTATTACTATTGGTAGATGACATCAAGCCTAGAAGCAATATTTTTTATTAATTTATTTTGATTTATCAACAATCACTTCCATATGCTTTTGAGTTTAAAATTTTTCTCCTCCTTCCTCTCCACCACCCTCCCCAAGACGGCACACAATCTGATATAGGCTATACATATACATTCCTATTAAACATATTTTCACATTAGTGATGTTGTAAGTAAGAATTAGAGCCAATAGGAGGAACCACCAGAAAAAGAAACAAAACTCAACAGAAGAGAAAAAAATAGCAAATAGTATGCTAGAAGCAATATTTTTAAAGTGTGCCCACTTGCTCCAATAATCAATAGTTGTTCCCATTTTAAACATTAGGCCTCTGATCTCCCAAACCTTTTCATGCATCAAAATCCCCTAGTCTAAACTGAATATGGTATAATTTCCCTGAAGAATGAAATGTAATACCCAAATTGAAAAGTTAATAATTTACACTGTGATGTAGTAGACAGAGAGCTCAGAGATGAAGTCTCACCTCTGACAGTGTTTTGTGTGACCTGGAAAATCACTAAATCTCTCAGGACTCAAAGCCTGAACACCAAGTTGAAGAGGAGGTACTGACCTATATTAGGAGAAGATATTTCCTCATCTAGGAGTTCCCTCTATCAATGTAATTACAGGTCTAGTTCCTATTCCTAATTCATAACATGTATGGTGGAAGATGACATATGATACCTCCTGTCTTGCAGACCTGCACCTGGCTATAATCTGACCACTACTATTCAAAAGTTGCAGTTTTTGCCACTTCCCACCATCTATCTCCCTTGCTCCAGGTACTCCTTTCCTGAAATCTCTACCTCTAATGAAAGGACACAGACACAGGGGAGGGTAACAAGGGGTGCTAAGAGTCTGCTATCCTCTGTCCCCCGACTGACTTGTGGCAACATTAAAATTTTATTATTGCTTGTCTTAAATGTTATGGAAATATGTGCGTAGAGATAATTTTATTTCTTTACCTTCTAAATTGGCTGCCGCCTCCTCCTCCTCCGAAGAAACTTCAGTCTCTAAATTCTCACATCTCTGTTCATCATCCGAGTACCCGATCATGTCATTTTCCCCACAATATTCGGTGTACTCCAGATCCACACAGGCTTCCTCTTCCTCTGCTGATTCTGGATCTTCAACATATGCCACAGGTTCTAGATCATCCTTTTCTCCTAAGTATAAATCAGTATCTAGATTCTCACCTTCCCATTCTTCGCCTGAGTACACAACAGCTTCTGGATTTTCATAAGCCTCTTCATCCTCTGAATATACTGTGTCTTCCAGTTCATCTCCTTCCTCTTCCTCCTCCCTGGAGAACAACATGACTGCTGAATTACTAACTCCCTTGTTCCCCCGAAGGCCCAGTAGTTTTCAGATCTTGGCTCTCCTCTTCTAAATACATAAGGACATCAGTATTCTTGCACTGTTTATTTTCAGAGAGTAGAGTAACTTTTGAATTCTTGTTCTCTTCCATAAACATAGTAGTTTCTGTTTTCTCTTGTTTCACAGATTCTGGAAAATAAAATGGATTCTTCTCTCAAACTGAAAAAATGAATTTTCTAATAATTTGGGTTTTGATAACCTTCCACTAGAGAACAGAACAAGGAAGCCTCACTCACTCAGGTAGGACTTGTTCTTCAGCCAAAAATTTTTTTCTGCCACCCAAGGAAACCAGATAAGATTTACTGGACTCCTACAAATTTGCCATCTTTAAGGGACCTAGAGTTAATTAGAAATCTTGACTCATGAACCATATGGAGGTCCCTAAGATCAATTCAGTTTCTCTGGGCCACAGGCACCAGGGACAGCCTAGAGCTGATCCAAGCTTAGACATCCCAAAATGAAATGGCAAATCTCAAAAATAAATAAAGTCTGCATTCCTGTGGCTGTCATAGAATCTGAAAAATAAAGGGACCTTCAGAAGTTATCTCTCTAGCTCTACACCTGTTTTTCCCAAAGCCTTCATTTAAAAAATGCCTGCTATATTTGCAAAGGTCTCTAGGAACAGAGATTCTACCATCTATTGGCAGCCTTAAACAATCTTTATTAAGGAAAATATCTACCAACTCCCTCCCCCACTGCAAGGTAATTCCTTCTCTGGAGGAAAAAAAAAAGAAATTATTATCTGTGTATCCTTAGGAAACTGTGAGAAAAAAAGAAATTATTTGTATTTCTTTAGGAAACTGGACTTACACTAATAGTCACAAAACCTATTCTTCAAATATAAATATGTAGCTATGAGCTCATCATTTCCAAGGCATTTCCAAAATAGCTAGTACGTAATAGCTAACACAGTGTATGAAAAAATATATTTTTTCTGTTGAAAATTAACTGATCCTTATAATAATCAAACTCCTAAGCTTGAAAGTATTAGTAACATGCTCTAATCAAGTGATCTTAGTGTTGAAAATTTCCCAGATTCCCCTAATAAAAAATCTATATTTTTATATATGAAAAATTTATAATAAAAAAATCTGTGATTTATTCTAACATAAATATAAATGTACACAATCAATGCTACGAACCAATCAGAATTCTGGAGAATACACATGTGATAAGTTTACCATCCTTTATATTTGAACTCATTAAAATTAAGATTTTAGGTACCCTGTTTATATTGAAGTTGCATGCCATCTTCCACCTATACCACTGAAACTGATCTATAGAAAAAGAGTAAAAGCTCTTAGGGAGGTAAAGTGTGTAAATCATTCAAAATGAACTTAAAAAGTGTGAGCTCCTCTGAACCTATCAAAAAGAAATTTATCTGTAGGAAAAAGATAGGAAAAAGGTAAAAGCAAACCATTTAAATGCATTACTTCTTCAGAAAATCTAACTAAAAAAGAAAAGTAAAATCTCAACTCAGCAAGGACAGACCACCAACTGGTTGCTGAGTTGGGAAAAGCACTATGTAAACACTCAAGGAACTGCTGACAGCTTTTCTCTCCCATTTTCTGTATCCGAATTAATATCTTCCTACTTTTCTTCAGTGGGTCTGTGATAGTCTCCAAGATTTCATACTCCTTTTCAGAAATTAGCCTCTGAGAAGTTAATGTATCTAACAAAGAATCAGGATCTTGCTGCAGAATTTTAACTAACTTTTGTCTTTCCTTTTCAATGACTGCAGAAGCCATAATCGGAATAGTCACTGTTCCTCCTTTCACTCCACTTGGAAACAGATTGTGAAAGTAGTTCTGGAGCAGTCATCTGAAATGAGATAGTCTGGCTTTTAATAGATCCATACAGTTGATAGTCATTTACCCATGACATTAAAAGCCACCAATTTTCCCAACATACAATCACACTATCTCCTGCCCTCAACTATGTATTTCAAATATCCCTTGCTCTCAACTATTTCTTTCTTGCATACTACCTCCACTTTCTCAACACCCACCATATCCTTCAAAAAAAAAAGTAATAAACAATAATCGACACATTTATACAGTACTTTGAAGTTAGCAAAGTATTTTGCAAACATTGCTTCTTTCCATCTTCACAACAATCCCGTAAAGCAAGAGCTGTCTTTGGGGGCAGAAACCAGATTGCCAGGGTTAAGAAATCAGCTGCCAATGAGTCAGTCAGTAGAGTCAGGAAGTGCTGAATGTAAGCTCTTGAGCAACGTAAACTCCTTAAAGGGGAAGTATTTCAGTTTCATCTTTACCCAGATGACCTTGCATGTAACAAATGCTAAATTATATTGAATTGAGTGTAGCAAATCCATTCACAGAGCCATTAGGGCAGAGGTGTCATATATGACAGCCAGTAAGACACCAGAACAAGATTAACATGTAACTGGAAAATATTTAACAAAATAAGTAAAAATACAGGAGAACACAGATAATGGAAACATGGTTTTCTAAGTCAATAAGGCCAGAAAGGATCCTTATATTTGAGTTTGACACCATCTCAATGGAGTATTATTGTAATGTCCATTTCCTCAGTGGATAAATGGTGACTTTTTAATAGACTTTTAAAAAAAGTTTCATTGCTATCTTTTGTTTTTATATCATCTATATTTCCCAGAGCAAAACCTACCAGCATATTGAAAAAGTCTGACATTTTATATTTGTTAATACATAAATATATATGTACGTGTGTGTACATATATATATATATATAAAATTCTGTTCCAAAGCACTTTTAAAATAACTTATTTATTCTCACAACACCATTAGAAGGTAGACACTATTATTATTCCCATTTTACAAGGATCAGAAAACTGAGGCTGAGGTTAAGTGACTTGCCCAGGATCACACAACTAGTGTTTGAGAGAGGACCTGAAATCAGGTCTTCCTGACTCCAAGACAAAAAGCACTCTATCCACTGGGTCCAATCGTTCCTGGTTTTACAAAGAAGGGAGATGCTTTTTCATATCTTTTCTTTGGTAATACCTTTTTAAGTTTGATCATTATTATTTCACAGCATTCAGTTTTACTGTTCTTTCCATTTACATTGTTGTAAACATTGTGTGTATTTTTCCTGGTTCCCTTAAGTTCATTTTGTATCAGTTCATAGTCTTCCCATGCTATTCTTTTCTTGAAAGGACAAATTATCAAAGAATTTGAATAGAAAATTTCTTAAGAGGAAACAAATTATTAATGATCATTTCTAAACATATTTAATTAAAACTTTTTAATAATTAGAAAAATTAAAATTAAAACAGCTTTGAGGCACCATTTTTTTCTCCTTCGTAACTTTCCTATTTCTGTCAAAGAAACCACCATTCTCATCAGCCAGGTTCATAATTTCAGTACTATGTGACAGATAATAATTGTAAAGCACTTAGTACATACAGTACCTGGAACATAGTAAGAGCTCCATAAACGTTAGCAATTATTATTAATTATAGTTTTGTTTATTTATATATATATAACTTTCTTTACATAGACTGTAACACCCTTGAAAACAGAGGCTGTTTCAGTTCTTTCTTTTTATTTCCATCACCCAGCACAGGGCATGGTGGAAAAGTCAAAAAAAGTCCCAAAAGTAGTACAACCAGGAGAGAAATTAGATGTTTGGAGTTGAGCCTCCTCCTTAAACGGAGGTTTTGTAATTTATAGCTCCATCCTCCAATCAGAAGGACAGAGAGCAGTGATGAGGTGAAGCAACAAAGGTAATAGGAGCCCATTTATGCAGCCCCATCATCCACCATTCTATTAGGCTTTGAGTAACTATAATTTTATCGTATCTTATGCTTTTATTTGGACTGAGTGTGGGAGGGAGGTTTTTGAAGGCATTATTAGGGAATTCCTTCCACAATCACTTCCTCCACCTAAAAGTGAAGACTATGACTCAATAAATTCTAGGGAGTGAGGTGAGACACACAAAGCTAAAGTGAATAGTGTCAGAAGAGATTTGAAGCCAGATTTTCCCAATTCCAAGCCCAGCCCAGAGGTCTGTTCATATCAGGCTGCCTCTTGTGGAGGTTACTTAATGTATAATAACGAATTACATATATATATATGTATGTATATATATATATATATACACATATATGTATGTATATATATACACATATATATGTATGTATATATACACATATATATGTATGTATATATATATACACATATATATGTATGTATATATATATATACACATATATGTATGTATATATATATATACACATATATATGTGTATATATATATATGTATATATATATATACATATATATATATGTAGGACAAAAAGGACATATATATGACAAAACTTCAGATGGAACCCCATTCCACATTTGAGTTTCTTTGCTTCTTCTTACGGTTTCCATTATTAAATCTTTTTTTTTAAATAAGCCACAACTCATTAAAAAGCAACTGCTCTTGTAACAACACACCAGCCTAATCTGATGGTTACAATGGCCTTTAGTTTTATACTATTAGCACTCAATCTTGTCTATACTCTGGGATGCTCTTTGTTGAGGCCCTGCTGCCCCTCTTCTAAGTATCTAGCCTAGATATTTAGTACCTAGATACTCAGATACTCCCTAGGAGGGATTCCTAGCTTAGGGTTCATCGACTCGAGTCAAATAGTTTATTTAATTCAACACGGACCTTAAAACGCTTCAGGCACTTTATTAGGCAAGGAATTACAAAGACAAAAAAAGGCAGAGTTCTAGCCTTCCAAGAGCTTATATTCCACATATTTTTTAAAATCCTTGTTGCACAATAAAAATTAAATACAAAATACAAAACAATTAGATACAAAGTAATCTGTGGAGTGGCTCCAGGGGCTTTTTCTTGCGTCGATAGAAACTGAAGTAATTAGTACAAATTTCAAGTAGGAATGAGTGCTTGAATTGAGTTTTGAAGGAAGCTAGAGACTCTACAAGGTCAAATAAAAAGGAAGTACATTCCAGATATGACAATCCTCCAGATCCTCCAGTTTAAAGGCAGAAGGTAGGAAATAAAATGTCCTTAAAGGGATCTGTAGGTTATAACAGCCCGTTTGGCTGAAGCCTATGAGTGTGTAATGTGTAATCAAGAAATATCTTGCTGGAGTTCTTGGGCTCTTTTTTCCTTAACTTTTTTTTTATGCACTCCTTTGGCAGTTTAGTGAAGCTTATGGATCCCTTCTCACAAGTTTTTAAATGCATAAAATAAAATCCATAATATTACAGTGGAAACCATTTACACTTAAATAGTTATTGCGATACTAAACAAGACAAGTTCGAAGTCCTCAGGTTAAGAATTTCTGCTGATATCACAGATATAGAGTTGGAAGGGTCCTCAGAGGCCATCCAGTCCAGGGGTTCTTTTTCATCCGGGATTTGTGAATGTTTACTTTTCGAATATCTTTACAACTTTATTTCAGCATAATTGGTTTCCTTCGTAATCCAATGAATTTTATTTAATGCATTAAAAAACTTTATTCTGAGAAAGGATCTAGGGGCAGCTGGGTGGTGCAGTGGATAGAGCCCTGGCCCTGAAGTTAGGAGGACCTGAGTTCAAATCCGACCTCAGACCAAACACTTGACACTTACTAGCTGTGTGACCCTGGGCAAGTCACTTAACCCCAGTTTCCAAAAAATATATATATATATATATATATAAACTTCACCAGAACACCAAAGGGATCCATGATTCAAAAAAAAGGTAAAGAACCCCAGATCGAATGCTAAAGCGCTTTGTAAGGCGCTTAGCACACTGCCTAGCACACAGCCGGAGCTCGACAAATGCTTGTTCTCGCTTTCCTCTTTCCTAATCTAGTTCAAAGCCCTCATTTTGCAAAACGGGAAGCTGAGGAGCAGAGAGAGGTAGACAGCTCAAAGCCACGGCGGCTCCTCCCCCCGTCCAACTCACGTCACCGCGCGCCTGGCGCCGGCCTGGGCAGAGTCTTAAAAACCGAGAAACCGGCGTTTTATCCCGGGGGCGTCCGCGCTGTCTTCGCTCCCGGGAGGCTGCACACGGACGAGCCGGGCTCGCGTCAGCGCCCACTGAGTATAGTGATCTGGCGACAGTTACGAGACACAGAAGCCAGACAGGTCGCAGAGACACAACTGGCCCTACATCCGGGAACCGGAAGAAACGCGGGGCGGCGCCGCTTCCCTCCTGAGAGACAAGAATGCGGACCAATCGGCGCTGAGCCCAGGCCAGCTCCTCTCCTTACCCTCCCCCTCCCCTTGTCCCTCTCCTTTCTCCGCCGACGGAACCTTTTCCAAGGTGCACCGTGGCCGGCGGAAGTGCTGTCTTGGCGGAAGCCCTACGAACTTGATATAGCGGAAGTGTTCTTTCTCTTCCGTTCTTTTTGGTCCCGACGGCAGGAGGAAGATGGTGAGTTTTGCCTTCGGGTTGACGTGGTATCTGTGTCCATCCTCCCTCCCCGAGTGGCTGCGGCGTCCAGCAGTGGCTGCAGTGGCGTCTGCGGGCATCGAGAAGGGGGATCCGGCGGAAAGCCGGGAAGGAGAGCCTGAAATCAAAAGTCTGGGCTCCTAGGAGTTCCAGGGGCGGTTTTTCCTTGGGCTGAGCCCTGGTTCCGGCGAAGCTTCACGGCCCACCCGGGCGGGAGCCCCACGCTGTCCCTTGAGGTCGGGACGCGGCCTAGGCCGGGAACTGCTAAGGACTGGTCGGGCTGTTCGGTCATACCGAGGCCCGCGGCGTGGAACAAGTGCTCGGCCTGACCTGATGTAGTGGGGAACGGGGACAAGTTTGGGAGAGCGAAGGACTCTGATGGTGTGAGGGTGTCCTAAAGAGAGACTAGCGTTTCTCTATTTCTCAGCCCTCCCATTCTGCCGCGAAATAACCCTCCCAAGTTCCCACCATTGGAGCAGAGGAGGCCTTGCATGTTCAAGGTGGAATTGCTTCAGTAAGATTTGAAAATTGAGTAGTTCGCCAGGCGCAGATCCTTCGGAATTTGTGTGTCATTCTAACATCACAGCGCATAGCGTTTGCTTCCATTTTTTCTTGCGATGAATTGTGCTGCATCACAGTTTCGAATATTTGTTTTCTAGACGAAGGGGACGTCTTCGTTTGGTAAGCGCCGGAATAAGACGCACACTTTGTGCCGTCGTTGTGGTTCTAAGGCATACCATCTTCAGAAGTCAACATGTGGCAAATGTGGATATCCTGCTAAACGCAAGAGAAAGTGTAAGTTCTCATTGTAGTGGGCATTCCTGAAGGAAAGGGGCGTTGTTCACTTTTTTTTTTTGAGAGTAGTGCTTGGTAGTTGCACAGGCTTGGCCCGTTAAAAATAGTTCCTGTTCCATGTGTACAGATTGAATAAGGACGGAATGAGGCTAAGTGGAGTTTAAAGTTGCTAAGGCAAATGAGTAGAGACTACTGTTTCGAGAGAGTCAATTCTTAGGAAAATATAACCCTTTGACATGGAAAATCAGAGTATAATAGAATGTTGAACACTTTAAGACAGAGGAGGAGGATTCAAATCGCTGCTCTGTTATGTGATGTTGGACAAAATTGTTTAACTGCGTTGAACCTCAATATCCTCATCTGTGGAATGGGTAGAGATAATAGGTGACCTACCTCTGAGACTTAAATCTAGACTTCTAAAAATAAGAGAAATTATTGACCTGGATATCTTTAATTGGAAGAAAAGCTTTCAGGTATAAAGTTTTTTATTTCGAAACACTAGAAAGGAGTGATTAGTACAAAAGATGGACAAAAATAATTTTACTTAATTTGTACAGCAAAAGAGGAAATTCTTGAACTGGTGCAAATTTAGTACTCATTAAGTCACTGCTGGTTACTGAAGAACTGTTGATAATCACTTGGAAAAATAAAACACTAACCAGAGCTGCAGGTTAAAATAACTTTGAGATATTACCATTAGAATAAGTGTTGGCTTTCTTCAAGGCTCAACTCAAATGCCACCTTTTAACGGAAACATTGATTTCTTTACAGTTTTTTTCCTCCTAATCCTTATGATTATTTTGTATATATTATCTACATGATCATTTCCCACCCCCATCCCTCTGACAACAGCAATTGGTTTTCTCCCTTTGTATCCCTGGAACTTTGCGTGTGAGCTGATTTTTTTTTTGTTTAAGAGTTGTTTGGGCAGTTGGGGAAACAGTCCTAATTAAGTGAACAAAACAGAATCTGCATGCCCTGACTTAATTAGCCAAAAACGTAATGCAAATAGAAATGGTCAAGAGGGTCTACAAATCTGATGTTTTGTTGATATTTATTTCTCTTTTTTTGTTGAAATAAAGAGTGATTATTTTATGCTTTACCATCTTTAAGAAGTATTGATGAAAATTTGATAACAGGTAGAAGGGGTCGTAGAAAATAATATTAGGGAAATAGACTATTTGGAGATTCGAAGGCTTGAATTATTTTTACTTTGTGTCCTAGATAATTGGAGTGCAAAGGCTAAGCGACGAAACACCACTGGTACTGGTCGAATGAGGCACCTAAAAATTGTCTATCGCCGATTCCGGTACAATTTTATGTTTTCTTATTGAGCTTTAAGACAGAACAAAATCACTAATAGTTCCTCTTGTGTTTAAGTAGAATCATCTTAAGGGTATTATCTCCAACAGTGACTTACAATTTTTGGATAATTTGTGGGTTACTAAAAATGGGCTTTGCTTTTTTTCACCCTGCTGCATGAAATATGGGTATCCAGTGAAAAGCATACCATTTGCCAGAGCTTTCTGTGAGGAAGAGTTTGCCTATGGGGAACTCCCAACATGAGTCTTTTAAGTTTTGCACTCTGGGCCACCCAAGATGCAAGTTTACTTATCAAAATGGGTGTGGGCTCTGAATTCTAGACAAATGATTCAATACAAAGCAATAGAGGGATACGAAATAGTTACAAATAATCCACAAATAGTTACAAATAATCCACAAAGGCAGTGCTTTGGGGAGATGCAGTTTGTTTTTGTTATTTTTTTTCCATTCTGCTTACAACTTTTAAGGGCAAAAAAAGAAAAGAAATATTTAGGGTTATAACTAGGCTTTGGTTCATTGTTTTTATGCCTAGAATCAAAGTGAGATTCCGGAAGTTATAACCATAATCTATTAATGCAGTGTGTTAATGTCAGGGTTACGTTTTCAAAAGTCTTTACTCTGGTGGGCAGCTGGGTGGTGCAGTGGATAGAGCCCTGGCCCTGAAGTCAGGAGGACCTGAGTTCAAATGTGGCCTCAGGCCAAACACTTGACACTTACTGGCTGTGTGACCCTGGGCAAGTCCCTTAACCCCAATTGCCTCACCAAAAAAGCAAAAAAATTAAAAAAAATAAAAAGATATTTGATGCTAACATCCCAGGCATAGTTCATTTGTCTAAAAAAGAAATTCTTGACAGTGCAATTCAGAAATGGAAATCCTTATGACAAATTAATTATCCTCTCAAAATTTTTAGGATCTTAGGCTTGAGTAGATGTGGAGTTTATAAACAGCCATTACATTTCCTACCTATATAAACATGAGCCAGCTAACCTTACTGCTGAGCTTTTGTTTAGGGGAAAATACAGTATTGGTGCACATTAAATCTAGCATTAAAGTATTTTATAGTCATTGGATTTTTAAAAATAAATTCTACTGTTCAATATAGTGTGTTCCTGAAACATTACTCTTTCCTTTTTAAAAAATGAGTAGGCTAGCAACTGGAATTGTTTGCAGCTTATCCGTGATGCACTTTTAAAAATGTCTGAACATATGAATTAATAGTGATTTCAGCATTTACCTGAGATAAGCTAAGTGAAATATTTTTTAGAATATACTTTTTTAAAATAACCTAAAAAACTAAAACAATTTTTAAATTTATTTTCTTCAAATGCCATAGGAATGGATTCCGTGAAGGAACAACACCTAAACCCAAGAGAGCAGCTGTTGCAGCATCTAGTTCATCTTGAGGATTCAACTGTTTGTTAAAATAAATGTCCTGAATGAAAAAAGTAATTGTGGTCAGTTTCATTTGATCCATTAATCACTTTAGTCAGATTATTGGGTTTTTGTATGATTTGGTGGGTTCTAGCTTGTGGATGCTTAATAACCAAGAGCTAGACTTAGTAATACGATTTCATCTTAGATCATTTTGGTTTTTGTTTGTGACCTAAGATGTGAGAAGTTAGTGTTAGGACATAAAGAGGAATGAAATCCAAGGCCGAAGGCCACATCCCACCCCCACACTCTTTTGCTGTGTAACCCATGGGCACTTGGCACTCCCATCTAGTAGCTACTTCACGGGATTGTTGTGAAGTTTAAATGAGATGATGTATATAAATGCGTTACAAACTTTGAAATACTGTATAAATATTAGCCTGACGTAGTAACTAGACTCCTTTTTGTGCTGTTTAGCAAAGCAACTTGATATCTGGCAAGAAAGAGCCAGAGGTGTTTTCACAGCTCTAAATTAGCTTGGCTTGTGCTAACAAAGCTTAAACTGGAACGGGGACAAGGCACAATGGAAAGTGCTACATTTGGAATCAGGGCATCTGGGTTTATTCCAGCTCTGCTATCTATTTCCTTCTTTTTTCATCTCGTACAATATGCCACTTGGGGTATGTTGGTTGTCCATCTCTAATTCCTCAGTCTCATTATACATATACCATGTGCGTGGATAATGCAGTGTTTGTATTCCATTTACAGGATAGGGTATCAACCTTGTTTTAGATAAATGGCTTCTGTATTAAGAATGTATTTGGAAAGTTTACAGAATTTTTGTTTTATTAAATTGAAACAGTATGTCACAATGGAATTTTAAATACTAGAATGGGTTTCTTGCATTTTAGGGGAAGGGGCACTTTAATTATACATTGCTTATCAATGTTCTGAGGGATTAGGTGTTGGTAATGTAAATGAAAAACTTATCCTTACCTTTTGAAGGAAGCTGAATATTTTACCACTGAGTAAAGGAATGTTTTATAGGGCAAGTAGCTAGCAGGGCAGTTCCATTGCTGATGTATTAGTGACCTTGGTCTCCATGGTTTCTTTATGATTTTGTCCAGGAGTATTCAAAAGTTTAATAGGAAATTTAGTACTGGCTTTGCAATTTTGCAGATTTATAAATTTGAATTTGAACCCAGCTCATGCCTCTCTATCCCTGGGCAAATTGCTTCTGGGCCTTAGTTGTTTCATCTGTAAACTGGGAAGATGGAATTAAT